TAAACCCTAATAATTAAGCATAAAACACATAATTCACATAATATTCACATAATTCCTTTTCATTTCTTCTGAATGAGTTACAAAGGTTAACCTAGACCATTATGTCAATATTAATGCCTAGCCTAGAAACACGGACGTTACATCTGTAGACACCGGAAGACAACATATCAATGTTGCGTATTTTCTGTTTCAGCATTTTGTTTTTATTTTTTGGAATCTGTCCCGCTTTTAAAATGCGCATAACGCATTCATACAAAGTCGGAATTACTTGATTCTTTTTTCATCATGTAATTTAGTGTTTTTACTTCAATTTAGAATGTAAAAAGTCATAATTTGGTTAAATATTGAATTATTTACAGACTCCGAAAAATAACATATCATCTACAACATTTCAACCGATTCTAGTTTGAAAAATAACCGAAAAATCGGGACTGGAACCGGAACCGGTGCTAGAACCGGCGGTCCAGTTCCCGGTTCTTATAATATAGGAAAATCGGTTCCGGTTCCGAATCGGTCCGGTTCTAAAGCTCATCCCTATAAAAAAACATAAACAAAATATTTTTCTTCTTTATTGTTGGCTTATTAGAGCATCAACAATATAAAAGTTTTTTTCACTAAACTTCTATAACAAATCAAAATCTCAAGGTATTCTAACTCATATTGCACAACTTTTTTAAGGTTTACACAGAATTATTTTTTCCAGGACACTTTTAAGTCACTAAAAGTGTCAATTTGACATAGTTACATTAAATTTATACTTTTTAGGACCTTATGATGGATTCCCAACGAATTGTGACGGATTTGTGATGAATTGTGACGGATTTTAACGAATTTATACTAATTTTTACATTTGACGGTAAAATTTATACTATACTAATTTATACCATCCATGACGCCAAGTAGGTCCACCCATGTGTTAACTATAGTAAAACTTTCCACAAAACTTATATATGGACCACGCTAAAAAAAATAAAATAAAAAAATAACTATATAAAATAAGTTATCGAAAAATCTAGAAAACTTGTAACTTTTCATTCAAAGTGAAAAAGATATGTGATGAAAAAAGAAAAAACTGTAATATTTGTAAAATCGGAGAGTTTGGTTGCTGAAATGAGAAAGTAGGATACTTTGATGGTTAAATAGCATTTAACCTTTTATCATCCACAAATATGTACGATAAACAAGAGGACAGTATTTTGTCGACGTGGTACAGTCTGCTCAATATGTTGTACTTTTCTTCCTCCACTCAAATAACCCCCACCCTCTCTTCTCCGATCATCTCCGTACCTTATCTCTTTCGTCCCTCCAATTTTCCGACGTAATGACAGCTACACCACCACCCTCTTCCACCTCAACTTCAACACTATCCCGTCACCACCAACACCAACACCATTCGCTCAACTCCCCTTCCAATCTCCACTGGGTGTCCCACCCACCTTTCTCTGCCAAACTATTCACATCCACCTCCTCCACCACCACAAACCCATCTCGAGTGAAAGCCGTCACTGACTCCTCCGCCCCTCTCACCACAACTACAACCCCACACCGAGACTCCCATGACGAGACCCTCCTAAACCTTCTCCGGCAAAGAAAAACCGAGGAGGCTTGGCTTGCCTACACTCAATCCCCTCACCTACCAAACCCCACTTGCCTTAGCCGCTTAGTTTGCCAATTATCTTATCAAAACACGCCGTCGGCCCTCACCCGAGCTCAATCCATCATCCAACGCCTCCGCCATGAACGCCAGCTCCATCGCCTCGACTCCAACTCCCTTGGCCTTCTTGCAGTCGCTGCTGCCAAATCCGGCGATACACTCTACGCCAACTCTATTCTCAAGTCTATGCTTAGATCTGGATACCTCCCTCATGTCAAGGCGTGGAGTGCCGTTGTAAGTCGCCTAGCAGCATCAGGCGACGACGGCCCCAAGGAGGCCGTCAAGCTGTTCTCATCAGTGACCCGGACAATCAAGAGATTCACGGAGCCAACCATGGTGATGAATTCGCGCCCTGACACTGCGGCATACAATGCAGTCCTCAATGCGTGTGCCAATTTGGGTTGGACCGAAAAGTTCCTCCAACTGTTCGAGGAAATGCCTGAGAACAAATGCGAGCCGGATATCTTGACTTACAATATCATGATCAAGCTTTGTGCGAGGATTGAGAGGAAAGACTTGTTTGTCTTTGTACTGGAACGGATTCTCGAAAAAGGCATCCCGGTGTGTATGACGACATTGCAATCGTTGGTGGCGTCCTACATCGGCTTTAACGATCTGGAAACCGCAGAGAAAATCGTTCAAGCAATGAGAGAAGGGAGGCAAGATATTTGCAAGCTTTTAAGGGATTCAAATTCGGAAGAATTCTCAAATGAAAATGAAAATGAAGTGTTCGAGAAATTGCTTCCGAACATGAAACACCCAACTGATTACGAACCACCATTGTTGCCGAAGGTATTCCTTCCCAACACTAGAATGTACACAACTTTAATGAAGGGTTACATGAAAGCAGGCCGGATCAAAGATACAGTGAGAATGCTCGAGGCAATGAGAAACCAAGAAGATAGTTCTAGTCACCCAGATCACGTTTCATACACAACAGTCGTTTCTGCACTTGTGAATGTTGGAGCAATGGAAAAAGCAAGACAAGTTCTATCCGAGATGAGTAAAGCCGGAGTTCAAGCCAATCGGGTCACTTACAATATCCTCCTTAAAGGGTATTGCCAACAACTACAAATAAATAACGCAAGGGAGACTATCAAAGAGATGATCGATTCAGGGATCGAACCAGATGCAGTATCCTACAACACAATGATCGATGGATGTATACTGATCGATGACTGTGCAGGAGCTCTCGTCTTCTTCAACGAAATGAGATCAAAAGGCATCGCTCCCACAAAGATAAGTTACACCACTCTGATGAAAGCGTTTTCTGTATCTGGGCAACCAAAGCTTGCCCACGAAGTGTTCGACGAAATGCAAAAGGACCCACGAGTGAAAGTAGATCTAGTCGCTTGGAACATGTTAATAGAAGCTTATGCCAGGTTAGGAATGTTGGATCCTGCAAATGAAATAGTCGAGAAGATGAAAAAGAAAGGGGTTTATCCAGATGTAGCTACATACGGGAGTCTTGCTAATTGTATAGCATTAGCAAAAAAACCAGGAGATGCTCTGTTACTTTGGAACGAAATAAAGGAACGATGTGGATTGATAACAACAGATGAAACTAGGGTTTCTAAATCTGGTCCTCAGAATGTTCCGATTTTGAAGCCTGATGAAGGACTGTTGGATACTTTAGCGGATATCTGTGTGAGAGCTGCTTTCTTTAAGAAAGCTTTGGAAATTGTGGCGTTCATGGAGGAACTTGGGATAGCACCAAATAAGACGAAATATACGAGAATTTATGTAGAGATGCATTCGAGGATGTTTACAAGCAAACATGCTTCAAGAGCGAGGCAAGATCGGAGGATAGAGAGGAAAAGAGCAGCTGAAGCTTTTAAATTCTGGTTGGGATTGCCCAATTCTTATTATGGAAGTGAGTGGAGACTTGAAGGAGCTGAAGATGATGAGTATGCGATTTAATGTAACAATCTTATATATAGAGACAGGTTTATAAATATTTTAATTACTTGGAATGTATACACAAGTGTATTGTTTAGTTGTAGGATTATACGATGAAGGTTATATGAAATAAAACTGAGAATTTGAATAGAATGGGTGAATGATTTTAGTTGCAAATATTAGTTTTATAGTATGCGGTTTGTTTGATTGAATACACTCTAGTGAGTAGTAACATAACCCACCGGAGATGTAAACTCAACCCTACGGCTTCACTTGTGGAATGGTTTAGATGAGATGAATTTACGAGAAGTATACACAGTGGCGAATCTAGAATAGAATAGCACGTGGATCCTAATTAAGTGAAGACGGAAAAACCAAAAAGTCAACACTATATATGACAGATCGGATCGGGTTGGGTCGAAGCAATAAAAAACGACCGGTTTGTAAAAACTCGAGTTCAACCGGACCGATAGAATAGCTAAAAACTGGTAAAATCAGTCTATTTAATCCTAAAATCTGATTTTTGCAACAAAAAAACTACTTTGCACAACTGAGTCTATTTTCTTTTTAAAAAGTTCATTTGCAACAACCATTTTGTACGATCAACAATATGAGAGGAGTTGTGTTGTTTTTTAAATTTCCTAATAACCATTCATAATTTATTTTTATAACATCAAACAACTTCAACTCTCTCTTTATCTCCGATATGTGATAGGTTTTGAAAATATTAACCATTTGCTTTGAAATTTAAATATAAGTCCTTCATTATTTTTTTATGACAAAATTGCAAAAATGGTCCCTGTGGTATGTATTTTTTTGGGGTTTTAATCCAAACCCCGACTTTTTTGGATTCGTGGTCCTTTTGGCCATGTTTGTACGTAAATTTGGTCCCTCGTAATATTGAAATGACTATAATGCCCTTCTGATATATTTTTTATGTTTTTTCTATTTAATTTAAATGAAAAAGAAAATAAATAAATAACTTGGGCCCACATCTATCTCTCTCTCTCTCTCTCTCTCTCTCTCTCTCTCTCTGGTTTCTTGGATTAACCAGTTGAAGATTTCATAAACCTCGATCCCCAAATTCACAATTTACAACTCTCTTAGATTAACAAATCTCAAACCTAAACTCCCTTCATCTCTCATCTTCAAATCGCAAACACCAAAACCACTTACCCTAAAACCCAACCGAAGAAACCAGATAACATCCCTCTTCACCGGAATCGTGGAAGAAATGGGAAAAGTCAGGGAACTAGGTTTCGACGAATACGGCGAATCATTCGACATGGTAATCCATTCGCCGATCGTCCTCGAAGACGTCAACCTCGGCGACGGCAACATAGCGGTAAATGGCACTTGTTTAACAGTCACAGAATTCAACTCCGAGCGATTGGAATTCAAAGTCGGGTTGGCTCCTGAAACATTCGTTAATCGAATTGGAAAAGGGTTTAGTTGTGAATTTGGAGAGAGCTGTAAAACCATCGACACGAATGGGTGGACATTTCGTGCAAGGGCATGTGGATGGAACAGGGGGAGATTGTTTCAATGGAGGTGGAAGGGGATTCGTTGTGGATTAAGGTGAAGATTTCGCCGAAGATTTTAAATTTTATAGTGGCGAAGGGGTTCATTGCGGTGGATGGAACTAGTTTGACGGTGGTGGATGTGTTTGATGAAGAGGAGTGTTTCAATTTCCTATTGGTGGAGTATACACAACAGAAAGTTGTGATTCCACTGAAGAAAATTGGGCAGAAGGTGAATCTTGAAGTGGATATATTGGGGAAATATGT